GTCACTTACACTTGTTGGTTATCTGTGCAAGTCTTGTCTTTTCTGACGAGAAACTCTCATCTAAATCAAACAGATCCAGTGCTGGAGCAGGCAGCTCACGAAAGGTTGGTGGAAATACCTACAATAATAAACGTAAAACACAATTCTAGCTCAATTTGATATTACATTGTAGACTACCTGACTCGATATCAGCAATGAGTTTGCTACAGGTGGGTACAAGAATTTCAATTATAATCACAGAGTGTGAGACAGGTGTGAACAATGACCAATCAAATTGAAAAATAGTTAATATCGCACTTTATTGACAAACAAGGTTTATTTTTCAAGATTACTACTGGTGTTTTTGTGCTGTGCTCTGGAGCAAAAAAATGACTCTTTACTGAGCTACTCTCCAGCTTGATGCAAAAATGGGTAGCAGCACATTGACTGATGGACAAGGATTCCACTCAGGTGGAGTTGCAATACTCCTTGTCCTTCATGCTATTGATGTTTTTTCCCAGAGTTGAATGCCAGCCCCTATAACCTAACTACTGGGGTTGAACAGACATTCTCATAAGAGTTTTGCTAGAGATTTTCAATGATAAAACAGACTTACTGCAGGTTGAAGTGGAGGAAGTGGAGTCTCAAACTGAGGAGTTATTAGCTGAAGAGGTTCATGCTTCACTCTTAGGTCTTCATATGCTCTGTAATAACAAAACAGCATTAAAATAACATTGTAATAAAGACATTTAAGCAGTTATCAGTCGGCCATTTGAACTGATGTCAACTGATATGACTCATGTTTTGGCTGAAAGCACAAGTTGATAGAAATATTAGATATACCATTCTGGTAGTATTTTGAACATTCACTTAAATCTATATAAACAGTAGTTGTTAACAGAGCAATACAGGTAATGTAAATATTATTAGAATAAGAACAACAATGAACCTCTTATACTAACTACTTATTGACTGAGAGTGAGGTCTTTACTGAAAAATCTCAGACCAAGATCTTGCCGTATTGACCGAGTGAAAACAAGGTCAATACGGCAAGGTCGAGGTTTCAGATTTTCCTGTAAAGACTGAACGTTCAAGGTTACTAAGTTGTTTATTACATGGCTTTTTGCTTTGTTTTTGCAAGCCCATAATCGGCCAGTGGGCATTATGGGAGAATAATGCCCTACAATTACCCAATCAGAGTGCACATGATATCAGCTATAAGAACAAGCCATATAATAAATGGTAGTAACAAGACTTCACTAATATATTTTTTACTTTCTTTTAAAAATAATACCTTATGGCAGAGGGAACCACACTTGTATCAAGCTTGAAAAGATCCTCATCAAACATTTTGGTGATATCTCTTCCCACACTCTATTAACAACAATAATAAAATAATAGTTTTGCTACTGTTTTGAAAACATTTTCCTACTTATTATAAGTGTCAATGACTAAGCTCTGAATTAGAGAATGATAGGCTGCATAGCTGATGCAAGGTTGATAGAGATTATGAGTTGTAGAGCTGCACATACAAAAGGGAATGCATACCTTTCATCACCCTCTCTCTGTTGTACACCATTTCTACACAGCACCTGCTACATGTTGGAGGAGGGGGTGGGGGTAGTGGCAAGGGAGGAACATGTACACGTATGTATGAAAGTTTTTCTCTTGCAGTAAACACTGAACCTTGGCTTTGCTTTAAGCGACAGAGACTTATTTCACTGTAGAAAAAACGATCTGACTCAGTGGCTGTTAGTGCATATGATAATACCTCATCTCCTTCTTGAAGGCAAACTCTTAGTCTCTCTGACATCCTGGGAGTATCGGGAATGTAATGGTAGTCTGATACCTAACAAGTGTGAAATTGATAAATTAGATTGTTACACATTCTGATAAACCATGAGACACAAAGGTTCCGAGAAACAGCTTGCAGCCCAATTAGTTTCCTTGATAATGATTTTTATTAAGAACCGATGAAAATTAGAAAAAATGTCAAGATTTAGAGAAGAGTGCAAAACCTCAGGGTCCTCAGCATCGATATTGTTGAGCTGAATGTCATCAGTTGTGAGCCACTGAAAGATCACATCCTGTAGTGGAAGAGAAAGTATTATGCAACATGAAAAATGGATTATCATTCATTCACCACTAACTCGTTAAAGTTAAATGTTTTGGTTGTTCTTAAGTCTGTCAGATTCTAATGATATAGCCTGGCCAACCCAGTGGCAGGTATTGTGAAATGGAGTGGTATCCAAATCATGGGATGGGCAGGTGGCCAGGGGGCGGGGCCAGTGGGAGACAATACTGCCTGTCAAGTCACTTCATGTTGGAATTCACTACTTGCTGATCAGGTCACTGTATGATAGAATGAGAACATCCTAGTACATTTGGTTTTGCTACTGTACACCTAATAAAGAACATTCCTCTGGAAAATTACATAAATTATAATTTTTTTCCTTTCACACTTTGTCTTAGGCTCAATTTCAACCCACCCTTTTCAGGACTTACTGGTGCCTATTCCAGAGTCCTTTACGTTCCTAGGTGTAGTGCTGAACCACTGGAAAATGACCTATTGCCAACCCTGACCTTACTGCATCCATTTATTTGTCAGAATCATTTTAATAACCCACCTGAACCTTTGCATTTTCTTCCTTGTCAAGATACTGATCACTGAACATGTGTACAGAACCAAGGATGACCATCTTGCCTTTTGAATACTGTATAAGGAAATAGAAATTACTGAATCAGATGTCCAATACCTATTAATAAGCTCTTAAAAGCTTTGAGTTGGCAACAAACAATAGGCATACAAGTAGGCTCGGATTAATAAAATTCTTTCTAAACAGTCGCTCATAACTATATACATGTATGCTGTTTTGAAAGTAAGCTTTAATCTCTCAAATTAAGGATTTTACTTGTGACAACTGACAGAACTTACTCTTGATGAGTGGAATGCGCAGATTGGTCTATTGAGAGGAAATGATACGCTGCCAGATGAAAGAACGGATATAGCTGGTTTGACCACATTCAGAGTTGCACCATAAGGATAAACAAATGCCAGAGATCTGCAAGAAAGAACAAAAAAGACGGTTAAGACTGATGGTTAAGACTGATCACTGAAAGCACCACAAAAGTACAAAATATAGTCTGACAAGAAACATGTTGTTTTATGACTGCTGGATAGCAACAGCTGGTCCATATTACAATCAGTGAGTCACTGTCAGTGTGTAAAGAACTTCTTGCACACTTGCACACTAGTGGATTTTTGGTCATGCTAAAGGATTCTGTCCTTTACTTTCCTGACTGGCAAGGGAACACTGGAAGTTTCTTAGGAAAATTATTTACGGATATTCAAATTACAGATTGAAGCACTTAATGAGATAAATTTTTTGGAGGGGGCAGGGGGGCTGGTGAGAAAGACTTTCAGATGAGTGTATCATGTTACAGCTTGCCTGAAGGACAAGCCAGAACACTGGAGGCAAAGACCATGTTCAAACCCAGACCTTACGACGTGGTGTCTGATGTACTATGTATTAAGCAAACTACAGACTGAGTACATAATAAAAATATTTACTGTCCAAGGTCTGTCCTATCAGCATCAGATGATCCTGGAACATACTTTCCAGCAGCCCGATTGATCTCTCTAAAATGAAAACAATACATACTGATTATACGTGACTGTATGATTGATATGTTGTCTGAATCAACAACAAAATGATGCTTATTAAAACATTGGCACAATATTATCACATAAATTTATCAGATGTTATACATTTAGATGGTGAAAGTGCTTTTATAAGCATACAGTCTAATGGCTTTACTAAAAGAAAATTAAAGCATAAAATGCTAATAACGATCATGTTTTATCTGTAAAGAATCAGACAAATTAATGACATAATTATTAATTTTATAAAGTTTACATGTACATGTGGCATTAACACCAGTGAAACAAAGAACCTGTGATCAACTTATAAGTTTGATTTGAACATTCAGCTGTTGACCTAGCCATAAGCTGAGTGAAAAACATTCTGTCGATAAATCAACATGCACACTTTTCTGACTTACCTGTTAAGAACTCCATTGGAGATTAAAACCTCCTTAGGATGAAAATACTTGTAATACACGGTCCTCACTACTGAATCTGTAAAGACATTTCCACATACAGTGGAACTCCATTAATAGGGTCACCAACGGGCCATGAAAATTTGGCCGTATTAATGGGGTGGGGCCAAATTTCATGACTGACCCACACGTCTAAACTGAGTGAAGTCTTAACAGGTATATCAACAATACACTTCTAAACTACTGATCTTTTATGTGCATCTGGAGTGCAATATTATTTGAAAAAAAATTGAAATTTCAATCAGGACATATGATATTAACAATGAAAGATGAACATAACTGGTCTAAGAGGCCAACATATAAACAGGGTAAAATTATAAAGGATTATACAGATTGGGATTTCAGAATGTGGCCATTGGCCATAGTAACAGGGTGGCTGCATTAACAGGGTTTTCTTATGAGAAAATGTATGGGCATTTCGCCAGGACAAAAAAAGTGGCCTTAATAACAAGGTAACCATGTTAACGAGTTGACCGTAAGACAGGGTTCCACTTAAAATAGAACTGTGTAAAACTTAGTAGGTATGCATGGGGCCCAAATATAGCAAAGATGTGTTGGGAATTAAACACTGGACATTTGATATTTTTACACTGTCATATATGTATTGTAAGTGTTAGCCAGAGACCTTGATTGTACAGTGGATTTTGTGGTAAAAATGCCAATTCCAATCTTCAATCATAAATGTGAAATCCATGTCCATGCAGCCATCTCACAGCCTGTTTTCTATTAATAATTTGGCATGATGAGTTTTATAAGAAAAGGTTTACAGTGTACATAATACTAACCATTATTCACCATAATTCCATAGTCTTCTAACAAGAAGTTGATGTTAGTGTCAAATCGAGACTCTCCTCCTTCCCCCAACAGAACCAAAAGGCTTCCACCTTTTTCAATGTACTGCTTCAGTGCATCAAACTATACAAAAAGCCAAACTGTTACAGTAAAGTCAACCAAAAAATCATCCACCGGTCCAGGGAGGTGTGGATATTTTCTAAAACCACACTAGTCATTCATTTTACATTCATGAGTATTTATAAATAAGCTAGTTTTCAATATTGAACACTCCTATTCTTGGCATAGCTGCTACATATAAAATTGTCACATATATACTACTGTAGTTACAGCACTAGACTGTTTAATCATCAAAACCTGGATTTAACGTCACTATTCTGTTATTCAAACAAAGTGTAGAATGTAACGCAACCAGGTAAAAGGTAACACGACAAAATACGCTAATAAATTTTTTTTTTTAGATTACGCAGCGAGATAGAAGCTAAAATACAGACATGAATAGCATTTGTGCTAGCTGCTAGAATAAGGGAATGTTCATTCAAGAACTGAGCATTCAGTTTTGTACTATTGTTTATCCTACTGGATTGCATGACGAACAAAAACAGCGAAACCGTCGAGGGGTGTCATGTTCCATTAAATGCGTTTTACCGACCAATAAAAGCATTACTATCATTAACGATAACACCTCACTACACTTTTACCTCAGAAGCAGTGAATTTTCTTCTTGGTCCTCCAAATATCACAACTTTTGCTGTAATAATTCTTTCTACGGTTATTTCATCTTTGTTCCTAAAATAAGTAGCAAGACAAGGTTATCAATTAATACGTACTGTACTAATCAATTCCGTTTGTTCTTATTAAGAGCAAATTTCAAAAACTTAAGAGGGACATATCTGTAAAATACTATATATTTTTTTTCCATCATTTCATGTAAATGCAACAGCAAACTTATTGTTAGCTTCATATAAAGAAGCTGTAACATACGTGATGACTTTCCAGTTGGATCTCAGTTTTCTGACCAAGGACTTAAAACCATTGTTTGGGGTGAACAGTTCTCCTTTGGATGAGTTAAAGATGATTGTATTGCTTTGCTGTCCCTCGGCATTCTCTGCAGTGGCATCCTGTGAAGACGAAAACAAAATTGTGACAACTGAGCAAACAACAACTTCAAAGAGTTCTCGTTGACTGGACCAAAACTGAAAATAACTGCCTACAAATAACAGTCTGTTCGTGCATAATACTGTCTAAATGTGCTTTGCTGCAAATAATATTCTGCCTCTGTGTAATTATAACCATGCTCTTTGTGAAAAATGGCAGAATGCTTCCCTGAGCTGTCAGAGAGTGATTTATCAGTTACTTGCTTATTGTTAAATACTTGTACTATAGGAAAGGAGGTTAACAGGTTATTTGGCTACCCCACCTTTCTCAGAGAGTGCAGCAAAAATGAAGTTTGCAGGATTGTTTTCAGGATTAATTTTACCAATAATTTGAGATAACTTTTGTACTTAAAATTGGAAAACTTTTCACATTCTCCCAACTTCAACTTGTGTTACCACTTCAATGAGGGTTGTACAGGCGGGGTCTCTTGCAGGGTTCACGAACGGAAAAAATAGAGGATCACGGATCACCAATGTAAAAATTTCATTTTCCCAAATCACGAAAATAAGCAAGTGAGATACTCTTTTTAATGACCTGTTCTTACACTAGAAGCGGTGTTTAAAGAAAGTAAAATTGCGAATGGCTAAGTCAAGGCTCCATATTGCAAATCGCATACCAAGTCACTCTTGATAGATGACTCTAACCATTCGCAGGAATTGCGTCTGAAAATCACGCAGAATAGAGGTAAAATCACGAATATCGGTTAATAATTCAGGTTCTTCACAGGTCGCGCAAAACCTTCAGGTCATGAGTCACGAAGAATAATTTCCTAAATTCACGTTTCATGCAAAAAAAAAAAATCAGCTAACCACACGTCACAAGAATACCCCTGTATGACCCTCTTCAATTCTAAGAATTTTTTCTAGCCAATCAGAGTGCATATAATATTGGGCCAATTTGTGAACCTCAACAAATGCTAATCAGCTACTTCCGACTCTTCAAAGTTGCCTCATCAATATTGAGTACCCCTAATGATGAACTAAATTTAAACAAATCCTCATTTATTTCTAATGGCCCAAATTTCTCTCTTTGAGACATGCCTGCAGGGAATCATGGTAGTTGTGAAAACAAACATCCAGCCCAAGGTGATGAATACAACAACCATGATTCCTTGCAAGCAAGCCTCCTCAAGGGAATTGGCCATTCTAACCTCTATCATTCGACAGGACGTCCTTTTGTATCTATAATTCTGTTTTTTATATATATTCATTTAGAAATAGTTTCCTTAGTCATGGTCATTACCATTTCCCAAGACTATACTCCTTTGTTTACGCTTATAAAACTTCACGACTCAACTCCTACCAATCCAGATAAATATCAGCTTAAGCTTATGTCTGTATTAAATTTATACATGAGCTTAATTACGCACTCGGTACTTGCAAGGATTTGCAATTGAAATGCAACATTGATTCCATGAAATCCTACCAAATAAGGTAGCAAATATTCGTAAAAGAAAATCAAGCAAAAATCTACCCAATTTTTGCTTCCCGAGGTGCGTTTCTTCCCTAGCAACATTACGACGCCTCAAAATAAATAACTCAGACTGCGATTTTACGATATTTTATAAGAAAAAACAAAGCGATTATGAGCACCGTATACCTCAGAAACACGGTAAATTAAAAAGCAATCATTGATGAAGGATCTGTAAATGATTCTGGTGTTTCTATCGAGTGATTAGAAGTCATTTGATGTTGAAGTTTGCAAAGTTCCTACCTGAGTTGTTGTTACAGGCGCCATTTTGATCATTGACAGCAAATATTCGTACTAGTGCCCAGGGAACCNATATATTTTTTTTCCATCATTTCATGTAAATGCAACAGCAAACTTATTGTTAGCTTCATATAAAGAAGCTGTAACATACGTGATGACTTTCCAGTTGGATCTCAGTTTTCTGACCAAGGACTTAAAACCATTGTTTGGGGTGAACAGTTCTCCTTTGGATGAGTTAAAGATGATTGTATTGCTTTGCTGTCCCTCGGCATTCTCTGCAGTGGCATCCTGTGAAGACGAAAACAAAATTGTGACAACTGAGCAAACAACAACTTCAAAGAGTTCTCGTTGACTGGACCAAAACTGAAAATAACTGCCTACAAATAACAGTCTGTTCGTGCATAATACTGTCTAAATGTGCTTTGCTGCAAATAATATTCTGCCTCTGTGTAATTATAACCATGCTCTTTGTGAAAAATGGCAGAATGCTTCCCTGAGCTGTCAGAGAGTGATTTATCAGTTACTTGCTTATTGTTAAATACTTGTACTATAGGAAAGGAGGTTAACAGGTTATTTGGCTACCCCACCTTTCTCAGAGAGTGCAGCAAAAATGAAGTTTGCAGGATTGTTTTCAGGATTAATTTTACCAATAATTTGAGATAACTTTTGTACTTAAAATTGGAAAACTTTTCACATTCTCCCAACTTCAACTTGTGTTACCACTTCAATGAGGGTTGTACAGGCGGGGTCTCTTGCAGGGTTCACGAACGGAAAAAATAGAGGATCACGGATCACCAATGTAAAAATTTCATTTTCCCAAATCACGAAAATAAGCAAGTGAGATACTCTTTTTAATGACCTGTTCTTACACTAGAAGCGGTGTTTAAAGAAAGTAAAATTGCGAATGGCTAAGTCAAGGCTCCATATTGCAAATCGCATACCAAGTCACTCTTGATAGATGACTCTAACCATTCGCAGGAATTGCGTCTGAAAATCACGCAGAATAGAGGTAAAATCACGAATATCGGTTAATAATTCAGGTTCTTCACAGGTCGCGCAAAACCTTCAGGTCATGAGTCACGAAGAATAATTTCCTAAATTCACGTTTCATGCAAAAAAAAAAAATCAGCTAACCACACGTCACAAGAATACCCCTGTATGACCCTCTTCAATTCTAAGAATTTTTTCTAGCCAATCAGAGTGCATATAATATTGGGCCAATTTGTGAACCTCAACAAACGCTAATCAGCTACTTCCGACTCTTCAAAGTTGCCTCATCAATATTGAGTACCCCTAATGATGAACTAAATTTAAACAAATCCTCATTTATTTCTAATGGCCCAAATTTCTCTCTTTGAGACATGCCTGCAGGGAATCATGGTAGTTGTGAAAACAAACATCCAGCCCAAGGTGATGAATACAACAACCATGATTCCTTGCAAGCAAGCCTCCTCAAGGGAATTGGCCATTCTAACCTCTATCATTCGACAGGACGTCCTTTTGTATCTATAATTCTGTTTTTTATATATATTCATTTAGAAATAGTTTCCTTAGTCATGGTCATTACCATTTCCCAAGACTATACTCCTTTGTTTACGCTTATAAAACTTCACGACTCAACTCCTACCAATCCAGATAAATATCAGCTTAAGCTTATGTCTGTATTAAATTTATACATGAGCTTAATTACGCACTCGGTACTTGCAAGGATTTGCAATTGAAATGCAACATTGATTCCATGAAATCCTACCAAATAAGGTAGCAAATATTCGTAAAAGAAAATCAAGCAAAAATCTACCCAATTTTTGCTTCCCGAGGTGCGTTTCTTCCCTAGCAACATTACGACGCCTCAAAATAAATAACTCAGACTGCGATTTTACGATATTTTATAAGAAAAAACAAAGCGATTATGAGCACCGTATACCTCAGAAACACGGTAAATTAAAAAGCAATCATTGATGAAGGATCTGTAAATGATTCTGGTGTTTCTATCGAGTGATTAGAAGTCATTTGATGTTGAAGTTTGCAAAGTTCCTACCTGAGTTGTTGTTACAGGCGCCATTTTGATCATTGACAGCAAATATTCGTACTAGTGCCCAGGGAACCTCCGCCTAAAGCCTTCCGCTAGACCTAGTCCTCCCGGCCTTTGGACTAAAAGGAGTAAGAGGGGTGTTTGTTTGTTTCTGGATGTGAACATCGTTTGATTACACCGCTTCAGTTATAGGTTTGAAATGTTATTCTCTTCACTTAACGAGGATTTGGAGTTGTGACAACAATAAAGAAAAAGCCCGAGGTAGATAAAAAGGTTTGAGAACCAGTACACCCTGGTAGTACACAACCATTCAGTTCGTTGGACTGGCGCGAGACTAGAGGAGGTTGGCGACACCAAAATCATTTTTTTAGCACTACGCACAAGATACAGAGTTGGAAAACACGACAGCCTTCTGTTTAGCCTGCTGGATCCTGGATCGAGCGCGAGCGATTCGGATTCGCACCCTGGCCGGGATCATTGCATAAGGCATTTACGTTCACGGTACCTCTCTTAAAAAAATAGCGAAAAATAGGGACTACATTTGCAGTTTCATTGCCA